ACACACACACACACACACACACACACACACACACACACACACACACAGCTGATAGAGCTGGCCACAATCACATCTCCCCCCAAATACACAACAAAGTCCAACGGTCACAAAATGTCTCTGAGATAAGCAGAAACAGGACACACAAACTGGTAAAGATGTGGGAAGAGTTTGGCTCATCAAATGCAGGAGTTTGACTCAACAACCTTTCGGTGGAGAACATTTAATGCGCACCCAACATCAAAAGACAAATGTGACCTTTAAAAAGGTATCTGTGAGATTATACAGATACTGAATAACTACTAGAGATACTTAGAAACCTGAGGTTGGTATAATCTGATCAAACATGGCACACGGACACACACAGACACACACAAACACATATCACTGTGCCAGAGGCGTGTCCAAGATATCAAGCAGACAGACAGACAGAGGAGTGATTGACCAATGCCACCATGTAACTGCTCCTTATATCAAAGCAGACAGACCACTTTGATTTATGACACTTTGCTGGCGAAGCTCCACTGTATTTCCTCTCATTCAATTCTTGGCTCTGGATTAAACCTTGGCGTTTCTAGTGTGTGTGTGTGTGTGTGTGTGTGTTCTTAAGAGAGTGCGTGTGATAGGCCTCGGCGATTTGAACTAAAACAAATATCACCACACTTTGGACCAAATACCTCGATATTGTTATTGCCACAATATTGTAGGGATAAAATGAGAATTTTGATAAATAATCATAAGTAATGTGGATATAATTACTATGTGGGTAAAGGCCAATAATAGAACAGCTAGAACTGTCTGATAAGTCCAGACAATTACATCACTTTAATGTAATGCATCTTTTACAACCAAGAAAAGATACTCATTATATTATGATATAAGAAAATATCTAGTCTCATATCACGATATGGATATAATAATGACAGATAATTTCAGTGAATAAAATGCTTGAAAAATTAAAAGTACTTAGTATTTTCTCTTTTAACTTTATTGCAAAGAAAAAAATAAATATTTCCATATATACACGTGTTAATCGTATCGAACTGAGTGGTTACATAAAGTCAAAGTGTGCTGTAAAAACAAAACCACAATCTTGAAAATGATATTCCCTCGAAATATTTCATATCAGATTTTCTGACAAATTTACGTTACCATGTGCTGGTTGCTTATTATCAATTCAGACGACGTAGTGGTGTATGACGATATCTCGATACATGATTTAATCTTAAAACGACTCCATTAAAAGACGATAAATTACCATCTTGAATTATCGCCCAGCCCCGGTGTGTGTTGTGGTGATTATCAATAAGGACAGGGCACGAGTCCTAAAAGCTTGTGACTCTTTCCAAAGAGCTCGGACCACAAAGGCTCGCTAATGACAGATCACACTGTGACAAACTAATAGCTGGCTGCTGTGAGAGAATAGGCCAGAGCCTTTGACACAACAGAGACACACAATGACCTTCGCCTCCTCACGTTGTCGCTCCTGATTAGCCGTCTGACTCTGTTGTGACTGTAAAACACCTGGTTTCAGCGCCAAGTGCAATCCCCCCCGTTTCCGTTTGGGGCCTAAACTGCTGGAGTGAGTCTTAGGCTTTCTGCACCTGAGCCGAACGTTTTTCAATTTGGGGCTTTAAATGCTCAAGTGTTTGCACCAACTGAGCAAATAGTGCAGTCCCATCCAAGTATATACTTAACTGAACAGGTGCAGTCAATAATTGAATGCTGTGTCTACAGAAAACTCCATGAAAGACAGATTAATTTACACGAGTCACTCAGAAAGCAAATACATGTCTAAATGACATGGTTGGGGCGACACCTACCTAGAAATAAAACCCTTTTGCATCACTTCATATGGCACTGATATGCGAGTACTGAGCACATGAGAAGGGCAGCTTCAAGCTTTTTCAATTTATCCTTCATTTGCATGTTGTTTATGCTTTGGTTTTGTTGCTTTGCTGTGCAAATGAGGAGCCACACCTTCCCGGAAAGATACTGATTCATTCAATTTTCTAGGAGATCCTAGTATCATTCAATTTTCAATTAATGCTGTGATTGAGGTTGGTTTAGAGACTCCAATATGAACATCGTATGCAGTTTAAGGTGTATGTAACATTACTTTTAAAGAGTAAATGTTAACCTCAGAAATGTATTTATTTTTTACAAATATATTTTCCTACTTTCAAGTTGCTCCATTAGAAATCGTGATGTCAATTTCCTGCTCCAACACCTACAGTTATAAATACTGTACAATAAACTGTTCAGTGTTGACTGTGATCAAATGTAGATGCAACTTCTTTCAATGGAAAGACAAATGTATTTAGTTGTTGAGATCAATTTTCACGCCAAGGTTGACAATATACATGAATGTACTGTCAGACATTATGCTTGTTGCATCAAACTAGGAAATTAACAAATATATTCATGTAACAAAACATCATTTTAAGTACAAGTTTTTTCAGGGAAGACAGGAAAACCAGTGAGTCAAATCCAAATTGGGAAGATTACACTCATTGAGCTCATTGTCATTTGTGTCTGGCAGTCTGTGTAACAGAAATTTAAGAGAAACAAAAATAAAAAAAAGCAATTCATGATCTTAAACCTTTTATTATAATAAAATTCAGTGTAGCTTGATCGTTGATAAAAGTGCCTTTCTTATCTGTTCAGAGGAAACAAGACTGATATCATTATGAAGTGTAAAAAGAAACACCAACTGTGAGAACAAGCTCAAATAAAAAAAACCACATTAATTAAAATAAAGACAACATGAAAGCTCAAGTTTTAGATCATAATTTACTCATGTGTCTCAACAGGTTACGACTGACTAAAATTCACTGAAACAATCATTGAATTATATCTTCGCCAGCCGGTTTGTTTCCATGTAGTGTATCGAAAAAGAAAATCAAAAAGATGAGCTAATGTGTGTGTTGCAAAATAAAAGCCACATTTCATCATATGGACCACTAAAGTACACAGTGTGATAGTGATCTCACCTCAGGACAGCATGAATGTTGCATGAGTCACGTTTTTAGCATGCCTGTGCAGCGCACCTCATTCTTTCATATCTGATTCACTCCCAATATCTGCAATAACACAGCCGTTTCCATTCAGTGACATCACAGCCTCACTCACCTGCTTGTATCAAGTTTTGGCAGTGAAAGACGGTTTGTACAGCCAATAATCCCTGAATTCACATCAAAGGAAACACTCCATCAAACTGCATTTTTTTTTCACCTATAAAAGATCAACACTCACGTGTAGGTTGAAATATGTTATATATTGAATCATTTGTGTGTACTTTTATGATTGTAGACACGTAGAATGTAATCTTGCAAACAAACACACGAACGTCTGGCATCCAGGAGTACAACTACAGCAAACATCGGCTGGGTTTGACGAGCTGGAAACCAAATCAATTCCCTTATTGGCTTACGGTAAGAGGGTCCAGTCTCGATCAAATCACAGACAGGGAGAGCACCAAACACAATTAAACCTCAGGCAGTATGTCAAGTACTTCCCTTCTGTTGATTTGTTTGCTGAATGAAACT